TAAATAACAGAAATACCAACAAACAATTATACTAGAACTAACAGCAATAAATTAAGTAATAAAATCTAATTATCCCGGCCCCCATTTCGCCAGTTAATTAGCGCGGCCGTGGCTTTGGCTTTCGACTCAAACGAAACGTAAGTTCAGGGATTCGAACGCAGGTGTAAATTTACCTGGCCTTGCAACTTGCAAAATAATCACAATTTTGTCGAAAATTGCGAAACACGAGACGTATCCTTTTGCTAATTAATCGAATTTTCCATCATTGCAATTTAAACTTTGGTATAGCGTCAATTAATCTTAACACTTTATCCAAACTATGATTCGGGTTAGAGATGAGATTCGAATTTTTGGCGGGAATTCTTTGGAGTAAACTTTGGTGAAATATCGTTGTTTTCTTTCACAGGAGAGCTTATTTATCAAGGAAATATAAACAGTGTGCTTATATATATACATGTGTGTTTATGTCTGTTTGTGTGTGTTTGTATGTGTGCGTGTGTGTGTGTGTGTGTGTGCGTGTGTGTACGTGTGCGTGTGTGATTGCGTGTGTGCGTGTGTGCGTGTGTGTGTGTGTGTGTCTGTGTGAGATGTTTGCAGTTTCCTTTAATATAGTTACTATTTCTTACATATAACATTTATAGTAATATGGCAATATAAACAGTGTGCTTATATATATACATGTGTGTTTATGTCTGTTTGTATGTGTGTTTGTGTGTGTTTGTATGTGTGTGTGTGTGTGTTGTGTGTGTTGTGTGTGTGCGTGTCTGTACGTGTGCTTGTGTGTGTGTGTGGCGTGCGTGCGTGCGTGTGTGCGTGTGTGTGTGTGTGTGTGTCTGTGTGAGATGTTTGCAGTTTCCTTTAATATAGTTACTATTTCTTACATATAACATTTATAGTAATATGGCAATATAAACAGTGTGCTTATATATATACATGTGTGTTTGTGTGTTTGTATGTGTTTGTGCGCGTGTTTGTGTGCGTGTGTGTGTGTGTGTGCGTGTGGGTGTACGTGAGCGTGTGTGTGTGTGTGTGTGTGTGTGTGTGTGTGTGTGTGTGTGTGTGTGTGTGTGTGTGTGTGTGTGTGTGTGTGTGTGTGTGTTCTGTGTGAGATGTTTGTGTTCCTTTAATATAGTTACTATTTCTTACCAATAACATTTATAGTAATATGGCAATAAAACATGTTATTATATATATATATATATATATATATATATATATATATATATATATATATATATATATATATATATATATATATATATATATATATATATATATATATATATATATATATATATATATATATATATATAATATATATAATATATATACATGTGTGTTTGTGTGTTTGTATGCGTGTGTGCGTGTGCGTGTGTGTGTACGTGTATGAGTGTGTGTGCGTTTTGTGTCGTACGTGTGCTTGTGGGTGCGCGTGTGTTTGTGTGTGTGAGTGTGTGTGTATGTGTGAGATTGTTTGCAGTTTCCTTTAATATAGTTACTATTTATTATCTATATTTATAGTAATATGGCAATATAAACAGCTTATATATAATATATATAATATATATATATATATATAATATATATATATATATATATATATTATATATATATATATATATATATATTACATGTGTGGTTTGTATGTGTGCGTGTGTGTGTGTATGTGTACGTGTGTATGTGTACGTGGTGCGTGTGTATGTGCTGTGTGCTGTGTTGTGTGCGTGTGCATGTGTGTGTGTGTGTGTGTGTGTGTGTGTGTGTGTGTGTGTGTGTGTGTGTGTGTGTGTGTGTGTGTGTGTGTGTGTGTGTGTGTGTGTGTGTGTGTGTGTGTGGTGTGTGTGTGTGTATGAGATGTTTGAAGTTTTCTTTAATATAGTTACTCTTTCTTAAATATAACATTTATTATTCAAATCGTTATCTTATTGCACCGTTGCAACCGGGGTTTCCCTTCTCAAGAATCCTTACACAACATAGGACTTTTTGGGCTACATTTTTATGACCAAATATCAGGCGATTTAAATTCCACTGCTTTCTTCTTCATCCTCTTCCTCCTTTTTCTTCTTCTTCTCCTTCTTTCATCCTTCTTCTCCTCTTTTTCTTCTTCTCTTCGTCTTTCTTCTTCTTCTCCTTCTCCTTCTCCTTCTTCTTTTCCATTTTCTTTTTCTTATTTCTTCTCCTCTTCGCCGATTTTTTTCTTCTTTTTCTTCTCCTTCTCCTTCTCCTTTTTTTCCATCTTCTTTTTCTTCTTTCTTCTCCTCCTCGGCGATTTTTCTTCTTCTTCTTCTTCTTCTATGCTTAAAATTTAGAGAACTTCTCATCGCAAAACCATATCCAGCTAAAATATAGCGTCTTTCCCGACTTCCAAGAACTTTTTTTGCAATTCTAGACCTTAATGCAGGAAAAATGTCAACTTGCATCGAGATTCTTCGCAATACAAAGACAAAAAAGCGATTTAACAGAAATTACAACAACAATCCTTTACGGTTCGTTACAGACTAGAAGTTAATTCATTAATATTCTTTTTTAAACTTTATTCACCTGACCTTTGCAAAATTCTTATTGCAAATCAGACAAATGAAATCATAAATCACATACATCAAAACACTCCATGATGGATCTAAATCACATAAATAAATCACATAGATCATAGATAAATCACATCATCAAAACATAAAAATCACAATAAATAAATAAACAATTAAAATAAATAAATAGATAATGAAAGAAAATCATAAATAAACAATTAGAATAATAATTAAATAATCTGTTACATCTTACAGATTTTTTATGACTTTGTACTTTCCTTTTACAATAATTTAAAACCTACTCTTTATGATGACACTGTATATTCTTTTTATTATGAGTGTTCATATTTGGAACTTTTCGTGTTCAAACGGGAGAGCAGGAGCCTCCCTAGGTTCAATTGAAATGCAAATCAGCCCAATTTATAATCTATCTTGTTGCATCATTCGATAGGCAATAAAATTCGCATCGTTATATATCTCTTCTTAATGGACCTCCCGTTTTCTGTGATAAATATTCATATGTTATGTGTGTGTGTGTGTGTGTGTGTGTGTGTGTGTGTGTGTGTGTGTGTGTGTGTGTGTGTGTGTGTGTGGTGTGTGTGTGTGTGTGTGTGTGTGTGTGTGTGTGTGTGTGTGTGTGTGTTGTGTGTGTTTCAGTTTTTTTTTTTTTTTGTGTGTGTGTGTGTGTGTGTTTTTCATTTCTGTTCGATTGCTTTTCTCTGAAGACTAAAACGCTTTATGTAACAAACGGCAAAGAACAATAACAAAATTAGGTTATTAATGCTTCTTCCGTATTTGAATTGGATGCTGCTCAGATATTTGAATTAGAAAAACGAATTATGAGTGAAAATGAACGCATTCGAAGTATCACTATTATTGAGATTATCATTTTAAGTATTATCATTATTATTTTTATTAATGTCATTATTATTATTATCATTTTCATTATCATTATCATTTCAAGTATTATCATTATTATTATTATCATCATAATTATTATTATTATTATTATTATTATTATTATTATTATTATTATTATTATTATTTATATTATTATTTATTATTATTATTATTATTATTATTTTATTATTATTATTATTATTATTATTATTATTATTATTATTATTATTATTATTATTATTATTATTATCATTGCTATTACTAACTTAATTATTATCATAATATTTTGGTGTTTGTTGTCGATGATGATCCTCGCATGTTGAAAATGTATAGATTACATTATCTGTTTATGAAAAAAAAAAAATGAGAGGAAGAAGAGATGTTAACAAAAAAAAAAAATGTCCCGTTTTCCATCACTTCCTGAAAATAATGTTGTCTTTTATGAAACCCTGTGAGAGCATAACCCAGAAACCGTGAATGCAAAATACGAGACACTAAAACAAAATAGAAAGAAAAAGAAAAGAAATAAATACCTGACAAGACTTATGACGTGGCACTAAAAAACAAAATAGAAAAAAAAGAAATAATATCAGACTAAACTTATCACGTGGCACTAAAAAAAAAAATAGAAAGAAAATAGAAAAAAAAAAATCTGACAAAACTTGTCACGTGGCACTCTAAAACAAAATAGAAAGAAAAAGAAAGAAATACTATTTGAAAAAAACTTATCACGTGGCACTCTAAAACAAAATAGAAAGAAAGAGAAAGAAATTCTATCAGACTCGACTTATCACGTATCATTTTTTTTTCAATGTCATTTTCTGCTTGGTGGATCGATGTCCTCAGGTCATTGCTCCAGTTCTGGTCGTTGCAACAGCTTGCAGTGCAGGTTCTCAGTGTAAACAAAAAGGAAAACATAAAGATGAAGAACCAAAGAAATATGATAAAGAAATAATGATAAGAATTAACAAATAATTGATAACAGTAAAGATAATGATAATAATGATGGTAATAATAACAAAATTTAAAATCATTATTATTATAATGATAACAATAATAACAATAATAACAATGATAATGATAATAATAATAATAACAATACGATAACATTAACAACAATGGTCATGAAACAGGCACAATACATCACAATTATATATGTATTATGTTGTAACTGACAACGACTTGAACTGTTTAGTCATGCCGGCTCCTTGGGTATCTAATTAACTCTCAAGTTAGGCTTAAAGTTGACATGTCCTCCAGTGTCTCCATCAGGTCAGAAACCATCATATATGTCAGCGAAGAGGTTAAGAGAGTCATAGTTACTCCCGCAGTTTACCCGCGCTTGGTTGAATCTCTTCACTTTGACATTCAGAGCACTGGGCAGAAATCACAATGCGTCAGCATCGATCACCGACCATCGCATTGCTTTGTTTTAATTCCCCTGGTCCGTGCCAGTTCTGAGACGGCCGTCTGTTGCCAGCCGCGGCCGGGGAAACGGGTGGGAAACCCCGGCCTTTGCCCGAGAGGCGCCTTCCGCGATGGTCCCGACCCGCGACGGCACCTAATGCCGGCGGGCGCTCGGGCTGCGCGGCTCGAGCGGAGGGGAGGGCACCCGGCGGCGGAGCGCAAAGCGGCCGCGGGCCCGGCGACCGCCCCTGCGGGGTCGGGTCCGAGCTCGGAGCGACCTCGTGAGAGGCCGCCCCTCGCCCAGTCCTTCTCCCTCGGAGCGGGCCGAAGCGCCGCGGCGCCGCAGGCCGATGCCGCGGGCACCCTTGGGTCCCCTCCTCGCCGCCGCCTCCGCGCGTCGCCGGCGGCCGCCCGCCAGGAGAACGAGGGACCGCTTCCGGCTGTGGGCCCGGCATGGCTCGACCCTCAGAGCCAATCCTTGTCCCGAAGTTATGGATCTAACTTGCCGACTTCCCTTACCTACATTGATCTATCGACCAGAGGCTGAACACCTTGGAGACCTGCTGCGGAGTAAGGTACGGACTGCCCCCCCCTCACGTATGGCTGTTACGGCCAACGACCCCCACTCAAAGTGAACGAACTTGGGGGCCTCCAGCAGCCTAAAAAAGAGAAGAAAGCTCTTCCCCGGGCTACCGCCGGCATCGGCGAACGAGTACGCCTGTTGCCAAGCACACACACTGGCCTCCGGACCACCGGATCTAAGGAGATTCAAAGGGGGTCTGCCAGCGCGGCCGCGCACTCTCTTTTGCTCTTTTTCTCTTCTCAAAGCTCTCCCGGAAGCCGTGGCGGTGGAAGCCAATCGTCAAAGCCCTCGACCGACCCGACCACAACAAGCAGGGAGGAGGTCGAGGGCTTTGACGAGGCGCTTACTCCGAGAGCGAAAGGGGGGGGTCGACTCCTACTCTCTTCAGAGAAAGCCCTCTCACAGAAGGGGGGCGGGAGGAGGATCGTCGTGACCGCGACGGCAGCAGCGGCCGCAGAACCCGCCGCCGCCGCCGGCATGGTCAGACGGCCACCCGCACGACAAAACATTGTCTTTCCCACGCACGGGTCTGTCTTTGCCACAGGGCAGGTCACGGGATTTTAACCGTATTCCCTTTAGCCCGAAATCTGACTGGACCGTTTCTTTGGCTTTCTTTCTTTTTTTCCTTTCTTTTCTTCGTTCAGACAAATTGCTGCGAGAGGAAGGGGTATCCCCGGGGGCGTGACCGGCCGTCGGACGGCCAAGCCAAGACACCGGAAGAGGCTGCCGCTGCTAAAAAAGCAGCCTCCTCCTCCTCCTTCCCCCCTTTACCGCTGCCGCAAAGCAAGTCGCTAGCAGCAGCAGCAGCAAGGGGAAGGGGAGGGCGGGCTCGTGCCTCCGTCCGGGTGCGCGCGGCCGCCCGCTGCTCCGTGGGATCGGCCCGATCACTTTCATTGCGCCCGTGGGTTTAGTGCGCCCATTGACTCGCATACATGTTGGACTCCTTGGTCCGTGTTTCAAGACGGGTCGGGAGGAGTACCGACTCTTTGCACGCCGCGAGGGCCAGCACAAGGACCGAGTGGGGGAAGGGGAAGCGCGGGAAGCCAGACCCCCCCAAAAGGAGGAGGCTAGGCTCGACCGCGGCCTCGGACCCCACCCCCGATCTCGGACGGCCCCGGAGGAGAGACCGTCGGGGGAGCAAGACGAGGGCACCGGGGGATCCCCGGACGGGCGCGCTGGTAAACGACCCCCTCCCGACGAGTCGAGCAAGGGGCCGAACGCGCCGCCGGTTCCTACCAGGACCCGGGCCTCAGACGCCCATCATCCCAACGCGTCGCGGCGACCTACTGCGGGGGGAAGATCGCCCCCCGGCGCCGGGCGGGCGGCGCTCCCCACTCAAGGCTCCTTCGGCACGAGGCCTCCGGAACGGGAAGTCGCAACACGCCCGCTACCGTCTCCCGGCAGGCCGACGAACTGAATCCCCCCAGTTCGATCTTCGAATCTCCGCCCGTTTAGCCTCTTAACGGTTTCACATTCTCTTGAACTCTCTCTACAGGGTTCTGTTTCAACTTTCCCTCACGGTACTTGTTCGCTATCGGTCTCGTGGTCAGATTTAGCCTTAGATGGAGTTTACCACCTGCTTTAGGTTGCGGTTTCAGGCAACCCGACTCTAAGGAGAGGCCCGTTCCGCACTCCCGAAACCCCCCTCCCCACGAACGAGGAGGAGGAAGTCTCTTTCCGCCACACGGGCCTGGCACCCTCCCTGGGTATGAGAGTCATTCATGAACAACTTAGGCGGCTCGGGAGCGCGTGCAGGACCTCTCCCGAACGCAGCACCCCTCGAGCCCCCCGCGAAGGGGACGCGAGGCTTTGCGCTGGGCTCTTCCCGTTTCGGTCGCACTTACTCAGGGAATCCCGGTTGGTTTCTTTTCCTCCGCTGATTAATATGCTTAAATTAGGCGGGTCATCTCCCTCCACTCGAGGTCGACATGAGCAAGGAAGGAAGGAGGGAGGGCACGGTGGTGCCCATTATGCTCTTGTTCAATCCTGCTTTTTCTCTTTCTTTCCTTCCTCGCCCTGTCTGCCCACCAAGAGGGCCCGAGACTCCACGGGCGCTTCCTCTCTCTCTCTTCTCTCCTTCTCTTTCTTTTCTCGCGGCGGCCGGGAGGGCCAACCGAGGCCACCTTCCCTGCGCACCGGCCCGAGAGCGCCGAGTGAGGACGGTCCCAAGGAACACCGTCGCCGCCAGCAGCAGCAGCAGCCCGCGCAGGCTCGGGAGAGGGGCGGCGGAGGGATCGAGACCCCTCGCCACCACCACACAACCCTCGCCCGCACGGGGCCACCGCCCCCGCCGCCGCGGCCGCGTCGGGCCCGGCTACCTTCTTACCTAGCGCAGCTCCCTCGAGGCGCCCTCGCCTTTCTTTCTCTCCTTGGGAGGAGGGGATGGAGGAGGAGAGGAAGAGAGAGTCCGCGTTCGTTGGCTTTTTCAGTCGCGCTCTCGCGCTCTCAGGATGCGCCCTTGCCCCTCCTAGCACGGCCGAGCCGTCCACTTTGCCCCCCAACCGTTCCCCTGGGGGTACGGGCAAGGGGGCAGGCAGCGAGCACGCGGGACTGGCCGGCTGGTTTGGTCGGCTTCGGGGGAACGCCTCTCCGGCCTTACGGCACGTTAATCCCACACTGGGGCCCAATGGCTGGCAGGCAGGCATGGCCGGCGGGGGCCAGGGGGAGGACTGGCCATCCGCGCCAACAGCGACGGAAGAGAGAGCAAACCCTCCACGTCTTCAGGGAACGTCCGGCGGCGAACTCCCCAGGGCGGAATCGTTGGCGCGAGGGGCAGCAGCAGCAGCAGCCACACGTGCCGCCATAGCCGCCGCCGCCGCCGCCGCCGCCCCCGAACCTCCGCACGGTCGAGGATAAAGGCCTCGCCGTTGGTGCTTTTGCGGAACCCGCCCGGCCCGGGGCCGCTGCTCGACCTCCTCAGCCCACTACTCGTCACCAGCCCGCCAGCCAGACCCGGTCCCCCCTTCCAGGAGGGAACAGGGAGGCAGGGAGGAGAGAGGTAGGAGAAAGGAGAGCGGCCGGAAAGGGGGGGGGGGAACCAACACGGCGCTGTTTCGCCTCACTCTCAAGAGATTCTCGTAGCGGCCTTCCCGGAGAACGGGCGGGGCTGCTGTTGAGCACACCCGCAGCCGTCCGTACTGTGTCCCGGGAGGCAACGTCACGACACTCGAGGGAAGGTGGCAGCCGTGCTTCGAAGAAGGCACAGGGCCGCCGCAATGTGCGTTCGACACGTCGATGGAATCACGGGAGAATTGCGATAGCCACAAAAGCTTCGCTTCTTGCCGACCCACGAGCCAAGTGATCCCCCGTTAAGAGTTTTTGCTGGGTTTCACACTTGTGTGTGTCTCGCCTCCCACTCAATGAGGCCTCAAAGGGGAGGAGAACCTGCGCCCTGAGAAAACGCGTAGCCCACGGCGCCAAACACCCGGCTCACAAAACTGGGCTCGGCGCCGTCGCTCACCTCGTAGGCCCCGGTGACCCAAGCGGGGCTGACAAAGACTTTTGGGTTCGGCCTCCTCCCTCCCCGGGGGGAGAGAAGAGGCCGGGGAGCCGTGCCGAGAGCCCCCCGTGAATGGGACGGAAGCAAGCCAGCCAGCCAGAATAACTGGGAATAACTGCGGCGGATCGCTAGTCAGCATCGTTTAAGGTTAGAACTAGGTCGGTATCTGATCGCCTTCGAACCTCTAACTTTCGTTCTTGATCAATGAAAACATCCTTGGCAGATGATTTCGCAATAGGTCGTCATGCGACGGTCTAAGAATTTCACCTCTAGCGTCGCAGTACGAATGCCCCGTCTGCTTCTATTAATCATTACCTCGGGTTCCGAAAAAACGACAAAATAGAACCGAGGTCCTGTTCCATCATTCCATGCACGACCATTCGGGCTGTAAGCAAAAACCAGCCTGCTCTGAGCACTCTAATTTTTTGTATTTGTATGTGTGTGTTTGTGTTTGTATGTGCGTGTTTGTTTGTATATGTGTGTGTTTGTTTCTATATGTGTGCGTGTGTGTGTGTGTTTGTGTGTGTGTGTGTGTGTGTGTGTGTGTGTGTGTATGTGTGTTTGTTTGTGTTTGTATGTGAGAGTGTGAGTGTTTGTGTGTGTATGTATGCTTGTGTTTGTGTATGTGTGTGTGTGTGTGTGTGTACGAACAAACAGAGAGAAAGAAATAATATTGACAACGGTGCCAACGTATTAACTGATTATACTTTTATTAAATACATATGTATAGGAAAATAAAATAAAATGATATTTACAATGATACTTGCCAGCTGACATGCGTTTAATAAATGTATATATCCATAAAAGTAGAATAACGAGGGGAGAAGAACCGCAGGGGGCTCAGCCGTCGCGAGGGGAAGGCCGCAAAAAGGGAAACCATCCGAACGTCAAGAGAGGCGGCGGTCGCCTGTGTGAAGGGCAGGACCACAGCCGACACTGGCGGGGGTGGCACAGGGACTGGTTACCCCGGCGCCCCCCCGGTCGGCATCCGTGGCGCGAGCCTGCGACCTTTTGCTGTGCCAGGTTCGGGGGGAGGGAAATTCGGGGAAGGGACCGACGCCCGAGCTTACCAAGAGCACAGGACGTAGCCCAAACCCCCAAAAGACACCACACACCCCCGGACGTGAAGAAAGCAGGGAGAAAAGAGCAGTGCAGCAAGGGACAGAAGGGAAAGCAGCAGGGAGAGCGCTCTCGACAACGGTTGAGGGTAGGGAAGAGATGCGGCTAATGTGTGTCTCTTCCCCTATAAGTTGTCGGCACTGCGTCGATCCCTCCAGCTCAACAACGACTCGCCATATACAGGCGTCCCCTCTCTGCGCCTACGCCTCAGGATGTGCAGTGAGGACGCCTTCCGCACGCTCCCACCACTCCTAACGCCCCAGGTAAATGCCCACTTTCTGTATATCAGCGCGCTGTGATCTGAGCGCTGGGGAGCACGGTAGCCCCCAGCGGCCAACCCCGCTCTGCACCGCCTTTTTGCCCACCGCCCGCCA